TGACTGGCATTCACCCTTCTCTGTGACTAGTACTCCATGGTGTAAATGCTGCATTTTCCTGCAGATGACCGGCGTTTGCCCTTCTCTGTGACTAGTACTCCATGGTGTAAATGCTGCATTTTCCTGCAGATGACCGGCGTTTGCCCTTCTCTGTGACTAGTACTCCATGATGTAAATGTTGCATTTTCCTGCAGATGACCGGCGTTTGCCCTTCTCTGTGACTAGCACTCCATGGTGTAAATGCTGCATTTTCCTGCAGATGACCGGCGTTTGCCCTTCTCTGTGACTAGTACTCCATGGTGTAAATGCTGCATTTTCCTGCAGATGACCGGCGTTCACCTTTCTCTGTGACTAGTACTCCATGGTGTAAATGCTGCATTTTCCTGCAGATGACCGGCGTTTACCCTTCTCTGTGACTAGTACTCCATGGTGTAAATGCTGCATTTTCCTGCAGATGACCGGCGTTTACCCTTCTCTGTGACTAGTATTCCATGGTGTAAAAGCTGCATTTTCCTGGAGATGACTGGCATTCACCCTTCTCTGTGACTAGTACTCCATGGTGTAAATGCTGCATTTTCCTGCAGATGACCGGCGTTTGCCCTTCTCTGTGACTAGTACTCCATGGTGTAAATGCTGCATTTTCCTGCAGATGACTGGCGTTTGTCCTTCTCTGTGACTAGTACTCCATGGTGTAAATGCTGCATTTTCCTGCAGATGACCGGCGTTTGCCCTTCTCTGTGACTAGTACTCCATGGTGTAAATGCTGCATTTTCCTGCAGATGACCGGCGTTTACCCTTCTCTGTGACTAGTACTCCATGGTGTAAATGCTGCATTTTCCTGCAGATGACCGGCGTTGGCTCTTCTCTGTGACTAGTACTCCATGGTGTAAATGCTGCATTTTCCTGCAGATGACCGGCGTTTGCCCTTCTCTGTGACTAGTACTCCATGGTGTAAATGCTGCATTTTCCTGCAGATGACCGGCGTTTGCCCTTCTCTGTGACTAGTACTCCATGGTGTAAATGCTGCATTTTCCTGCAGATGACCGGCGTTTGCCCTTCTCTGTGACTAGTATTCCATGGTGTAAAAGCTGCATTTTCCTGCAGATGACTGGCATTCACCCTTCTCTGTGACTAGTACTCCATGGTGTAAATGCTGCATTTTCCTGCAGATGACTGGCGTTTACCCTTCTCTGTGACTAGTACTCCATGGTGTAAATGCTGCATTTTCCTGCAGATGACCGGCGTTTGCCCTTCTCTGTGACTAGTATTCCATGGTGTAAAAGCTGCATTTTCCTGCAGATGACTGGCATTCACCCTTCTCTGTGACTAGTACTCCATGGTGTAAATGCTGCATTTTCCTGCAGATGACCGGCGTTGGCCCTTCTCTGTGACTAGTACTCCATGGTGTAAATGCTGCATTTTCCTGCAGATGACTGGCATTTACCCTTCTCTGTGACTAGTACTCCATGGTGTAAATGTTGCATTTTCCTGCAGATGACTGGTGTTTACCCTTCTCTGTGACTAGTATTCCATGGTGTAAAAGCTGCATTTTCCTGCAGATGACTGGCATTCACCCTTCTCTGTGACTAGTACTCCATGGTGTAAATGCTGCATTTTCCTGCAGATGACCGGCGTTTGCCCTTCTCTGTGACTAGTACTCCATGGTGTAAATGCTGCATTTTCCTGCAGATGACCGGCGTTCACCTTTCTCTGTGACTAGTACTCCATGGTGTAAATGCTGCATTTTCCTGCAGATGACCGGCGTTCGCCCTTCTCTGTGACTAGTACTCCATGGTGTAAATGCTGCATTTTCCTACAGATGACCGGCGTTTGCCCTTCTCTGTGACTAGTACTCCATGGTGTAAATGCTGCATTTTCCTGCAGATGACCGGCGTTCACCTTTCTCTGTGACTAGTACTCCATGGTGTAAATGCTGCATTTTCCTGCAGATGACCGGCGTTCACCCTTCTCTGTGAGTAGTACTCCATGGTGTAAATGCTGCATTTTCCTGCAGATGACCGGCGTTCGCCCTTCTCTGTGACTAGTACTCCATGGTGTAAATGCTGCATTTTCCTGCAGATGACCGGCGTTTGCCCTTCTCTGTGACTAGTACTCCATGGTGTAAATGCTGCATTTTCCTGCAGATGACCGGCGTTTGCCCTTCTCTGTGACTAGTACTCCATGGTGTAAATGCTGCATTTTCCTGCAGATGACCGGCGTTTGCCCTTCTCTGTGACTAGTACTCCATGGTGTAAATGCTGCATTTTCCTGCAGATGACCGGCGTTTGCCCTTCTCTGTGACTAGTACTCCATGGTGTAAATGCTGCATTTTCCTGCAGATGACCGGCGTTTACCCTTCTCTGTGACTAGTACTCCATGGTGTAAATGCTGCATTTTCCTGCAGATGACCGGCGTTGGCTCTTCTCTGTGACTAGTACTCCATGGTGTAAATGCTGCATTTTCCTGCAGATGACCGGTGTTTACCCTTCTCTGTGACTAGTACTCCATGGTGTAAATGCTGCATTTTCTTTATTGTTCTTCTGTTAATGATGTACAGGCTGCTTCCAGGATTCAGCGACTGTGAATTATGCTGCCGTAAACACAGGTACGCACGGATCACTGTAACACGATGTCTTTTAACTGTTCCGGGAAGATTCCTAGGAGGGGGCTGGCCAGGTCGAGTGGCCTGTCATGTTCTAACTGTCTGAGAACTCTCCACACTGATTTCCAGTGGTTGTACTAGCTCCCGTCCCCACCAGCAGTGTAGGAGGGTTTGTGTGAAGAAATACCTCGTGCACTTGTGTGCCACAGCAGGTCCTTAGGAGGGTGACACTGGCTGACAGATCTTTAAATTCACTGTGAAAAGACTTCATTTGGGGCTGGGGATTTAGCTCAGCGGCATAAGCGCCTGCCTTGCAAGCAGGCAGTCGTGAGTTCCATCCCTGGTACTGATAAAAATGAAAAAGACAAAAAAAAAAAAAACTTCATTTATGGGAAACAGGAAGCTCAGGCTAGCTGTTGGGGCTGCAGAGTTGACTGTGACAGAGTCCCTGCTCTCTTGCAGTGACTATCCCAGCAGAGAGCAGCTGGCTGGAAGGCAGGGTGAGGGGCATTTCGCTGCCCTGATTGCTGGTCCCCGGGGTGTGGTGGGTGGGGGCGTCTGGGGCACTGGGGAAGGCGTTCTAGCGTCAGCCCCTGGCAGTTTGTGTTCCAGCAGGGAAGGAATGGATAGGTCAGTGCTGAGACCTGCCCTGCACGCCGCCTGTGCCCTTCCCACATGGCCTCACTCTTCTCCATGGCTTCCCCTCGTCCTTGAAGGAATTGTACCGCACCACTAGGTCATTTTCTTCATATTTATTTTAAATTTTAATAGCTAACTTACTTACATGGCTCATAATTTAAAAATATGAAAAGACAGCCATTGTAAGCTTGAGCTATAAAATTACAAATCTGATTTCAGGTCTTTCACTTGTTCCAAGGAAGCATGTTGGCACTGTGTTATGCTCCAGCCCCTGCGGGTATGGAGAACCCCTTTAATTGGTTTTGTATATCTTTCCTGTCAAAGTTCAATTACAAAGCAATTACAAGAAATAAAGATATCTATTTTCCCTCTTTACTACACAGCAATCAGGATGCCAGGTTCATGTACATATGGCTGTGTGCTTTTATGAAATTTTTTTTTGGAGACAAGGTCTCACTATGTGGTTTAGCTTGATCTTGAACTCACCACGCAGCCCAGGTTGGCCTTGAGCTCTCCGGCCTCGGGCTCCTGAGAGCTGGGATCACAATGTGTGCTGTTGCGCCTGGCTGCTTTTCTGATTTTTTAACGGTGTATCTCAGTGCTCTGTCTGATTCAGCATCCCTGCCGTTCTTTCCTGTTCCGCATTCCTGGCGTGCAATTTACTGCTTTCTGTGTGGATATGTAGTTGGTATTGATCAAACTTTAGGGACTGTTTCCAGTTTCAGGCGGGTTTATCCAGGAAGTTCCCTGAAAAGTGGCCCAGTGACGCTGCTTTCAGGTTACTAGACTGATATGTCCACATGGGAGAGAGAGAAAGAGCCGGCCACTGTGACTGCCCTGCCTGAGGCAGAGCTCAGAGAAGCTCTCCGGTGGTCTCAGTGGGAGTCTGCGACAGGACAGGTCGTTGACAGTGACGTGAGAGGGAAAGCCACTCAGCCTGACCCCTGCTCCTGGTGCTTGGCTGCGTCCCTTCTGCTCTCCATGGTGGCTTCTTGGTGCCTGCCTACTGTCCTGCTCTCCTTTTTTCTCTTTCCCTTCCTTTCCCATGCCCTCCCCGCCTGTTTTCTTTGCTCTTTTGTTTACTATTTTGTTTTTTGAGATAGGACTTCACTTTGTAGTTCAGACTGGCCTTGAACTTTCAGAGATCCTCCCGCCTCAGCCTCCCGAGCTCTGGATTACAGGTGTGTTTCACAGTGCCCTGCTTCTTTCTTCTCTCCCTCTCCTTTGAGCCTGCTTTTCTCTGGGGCTGCAGTGTAGACCACCCTGTTCCCTCTAAGTCTGAAGGACTTTGAAAACAAAGAAACTAGTTAAGAGATTAGAGAGAAGTGGGCACTCGTCTGATCTTATCATTGAAAATGTTTGGTGTCCGTGGTTGGAAATCACTGTTAAAAACTAAACAACAGTGGCAGAGATGTTGGCACAGCTTCTATGGATACCCCTCATGTTTGACGACACCCAGTGCTTTCAAACTGACGCTCTAAGCTGCCTCATGAGGTGGCAGGCGTCACCGTTCCCTGCTGGGAGGAACTGGAGGCGCAGAGCTCCGCTCCTGCTGTGTCACGTACGTTCTGGAACTTTCCGGGGCGGCTGGAGATCACTGCTGCTGTTCAGAGCAGGACGTGAGTGGAGCACAGGTTACCGAGTGTTGAAGGACCTTTGTGGCCGGTGCCTGCCAGACCCGAGCTGAGCTGCGGGGCTCGGGCTTCTCTGGCTCTGCGTGCCATGCCCTCACCTGACCGTTGCCCTGTTTCTCTCCTAGTTTCTGCCACCAGCCTTAGCGAGTCTGACAGTGAGAATGAAGGGAAGCCGCGCGGCTCGGACGCCTTCAACGATGTGTTCAGAGCAGACTCGCTCGTGGAGGGGACATCTTCTCGGTACTCCATGTACAACAGCGTCTCCCAGAAGCTCATGGTACGGGCATCCCGGCCCCACTGCGCGGCCGCCCCGCGGTGGAGGGCGGCGGTGTGTGTTGAGTGGAAGGGAGAACTGGGGCGGGGTGCTCCCTGAGCTCGGGGAGCCGTCCCTAGCCGGCCCTGTAGCAGCACACAAAAGGCCTCCTGCCTGCACCTGGCTTTAGTGAGCAACTTCAAAAGGAGGAGGCGCTGAGCTGCTCGCTCTTCCTGCTTGAAAGGTGGCCGCCCGGGTGTGTCAGTGGGGCGCTTCACTCGTGTGTGCAGGGTCAGCAGGCCCACGGCTGCCTTCTCTCTGCCCTCAGAACTTCACCGAGACGGCTTTGTTTCCGGCGGGACTTGTGTAAGCCCGAGAATGGCCACTGCCAAGGTCACAAGTCACAATTCTAGTTTGGGGACCACTGGATTTGGGGGCTTGAGGCTAGCGCCACACTCAGCCCGTGTGCCTGGGGACAGGATTCGGCTGCTTTCCGAGGGCGCTGGCTTTTACCGCATCCGAGTTCCTGATGAGCTAAGAGCCTCTGTGCTGTGAGGCCCAGCCTGTGAGCTTCGGAGCACCTGCGTGGGCCCGGGCTCACTCTACAGTCCGCCTTGCTCTCAGTTTTCTTCTTCTCATCTTTTTTTTTTTTTTTTTTTTTTTTAGTGCTGGGAATTGAACCCAGGACTTTCTCACTGAGCTGCTTACCCAGCTGGCTTTTCATCTGTTTGTTTGGTTTTTTTGAGATAGGTTCTCAGTCACTGAGTTTCCCCAGACTGGACCATTTTTGCCTCAGTCCTGCAGAAGGCTGGGATAGAGGCGAAGCTGTGACATCTTCCATCGCATGTGTGACCCAGGCCCTCACTGTACTTTCCATACCCCAGCCGAACAGGATGCACAGTTTCCCGTTAGTGTCTCGATTAAGTGGGTCCTGCAAGCCCTGCTGACCTCGTGTGGTAAGGCTGTCTGACTAGCTGAGGGCAGAGTAGAAGCTGCTGCTTGAAGCCATTCCATTTTAAATTATGTTCTTTATCAGCTTTGTTCTGGATCTACTTCTTTTTTTTTTTTTTTTTTTTTTTTTTTTATTTAAGGAGAAAAGAAAAAAAAACAGTGAAGGGGTACAAGTTATACAGATTTACAGAAGAAAAAAATGCGCAGTAGGAAATCACTAGTTAATGGATTACATATTGCCATCTTAGAAATAATTGTTCAAATCACAAGATTAAAGCTTGTAGAGTGGACATTCCAACAATGATACTGCAAACAGTTCTGTTCAATGATCCAATAAAACTCTGTGATATCATTTTCTATCTTATACACTTAAATATACATGCAGTTATATAGTTTAGAGCACTTTCTTTTCCTCTCTTTTGTACAATGACTATTACACATTTTGGGTTTCATTGCTCCCACGGTTCTTATTGCTTTTTTGGAAGAGAGTAAAACCAAATGTGACATAACAGAACAGAATCGGTCAAGTCAAAAGGGTGGACATAATAGATATTATAAAACATAATACAAGGTGATCAACGATGGTTACCATAATGCCTCCCGCTATCTCTAATAGAACTGCCTATATCATTAGTTGTAATACAATTGAACAAAACAGTAACGAACAAAACCGACAAAACCAAAACATTGGAGACATTGTAGGTCTTCAAAAGTAGATAAAAGTCAACGAGAATGGGCGTATAATGAATCTCATTATCTTCTCAGCTGATGCCTAAACTTTCGAACCTGATACTATCCAGCAAAACAGAATAGAGGAACCTCAGTCAAAAACAAGATGGTGAGAGTAATACAGGGCTTCAAATCGAGATAATAGAAAGTCAAAGTGGGTTACTATATTATATCCTGCTATTTTTTTCCCTTTAATTAAACGGATAAAAATAAAAAAATAATGGAGTGGAGATTGAGAAAAAAGAGGGCATAACAGCGAAACAGGGCAGATCAAAACATAACTATTTAAGCAGAATAGTGTTTCACCACCAGATAATTCCGACCCAAAAGTAGTTACCATATTGACTCTTTCCTTGAAGTCCTTGAGTACAACTTCGTATACTGTAGCATTAAGTATATCAAAACAATGTAAAACCATTTAAGAGAATGACAGCATTATAGAGTATTTAGAATCAACTAACAGAAAATGAACAATGGTTTCTGTATAATCTCCTTGTCTTTAAAAGGTTTTTGCTTATACTATCGTACATAATAAAATCCAATAAGATACAACCTGTTTAGACCATTGGAGACAGAAGAACAAAAGCTAGATGAGACTTCAAAACAAGATGGTACTAGATCAGTATTACCTATTAAGATGTCATTTTCTCCAAAATAGCTGTTCCTATCATCCAATCTTCTCTGTCTCATTTCTGTTGAGCTCTTTTTCTGTCAGTAGCTGTCAGTTTGTCTTCTTCATTTTGTTCTCTGCTCCATTCGTTGTGGCCTCCCCGCCACCATTTCTGGGTTCTTTGTATTTTTCTTTTTTTAGAATATCCTGCAATACTTTCTGTAGGGTTGAATTGGTGGTTGCAAATTCCCCCAGTTCCTCTTTATCCTGGAAGCACCTCGTTTTTCCATCAATTTCCAGGGATAGTTGTGCAGGATATCTCAATCTTGGCTGGAGATTATTATCTTTCAAAGCTTGAATTATTTCCCCCCATGCTCTTCGTGATTTGATGGTTTGTGCAGAGAAATCTGCTGTAATTCTGATGGGTGTTCCCTTGTAAGTGGTCTGTTTCTTGTCTCTTACAGCTTTTAATATTCTGTTCTTGTATTGAATTTCTGGAATTTTTATTATTATATGCCTGGGTGTTTCTCTGTTAGGGTTGTAGGTAGCTGGGGTCCTGTATGCCTCATACATCTGAGTATCTTTACCTTTTGCTAAATTAGGAAAATTCTCCTGGATTATTTCTGTGAGTAGCTTTTGTAGTTCACTTGTTTGTGTCCCTACTTCTTCTTTTATGTTCTTAATCCTTAAGTTATGGCTCCTCTTATCATCTTCTTGTCTTTGTATTATTGCTGTTTGTTTCTTTGTTATTTTTAAGAAGTTTTTCATTTCATTCTCCCATATTACAAGTCTGCCCTCCAGTTCAGATAGTCTGTCCTTAGTTTCTTTCAAGCTGTTATGCCAGTCTTGGATAGACTTAATTTCTTGATAGTCCCTTTGAACCTGCTTCACGTACTCTATGCTTTCTCTGTTTTCTCCATCAAACAATTCTCCCCTCTTTTTCTGTTCTTCCATTCCACCATCTGTTTTTTCCTGGGTGGTGGTTAGTATTTCTCTAACTATTCTGCATACTTCTAGCTTCAGGTCGTTGATAACTTCGTTCCTGAATTGGTCTATGAGGCTCTCTATATGGCGCTTAATGTATATTGGTGCGGTGTCCACTATTGCCTGATTCTCAGGATTGGGGGCCGAGGAGCCTTTCTTGTTGCTTCCCTTCCCCATATTTTCTGTTCCTTATAAAATGCAAGCTTACATAGGAGGCCCGGCTTCCTTGCCTGTCAGCCACAGCCTGATCAAATTGCGCTGGCTAGTTGTTCCCGCCCACCGCTGCGCACCAGGGAGTTGCGGAGGAGGCAGCCTACGCAGGAGTCAGTCGCTCCTCCGGGTCACCATCAGGCTCTGGGATCTGGGTTAGGCCAGTCTAGTGAGTCCGCCCGCAGCGTCACGCAGGCCAGGCACTTTTCACCAATCCCGTCCGAGAAGGGAATGTGTGGCTGGAGTCGTCACCGCGCCCTGCTCTTACAGGACTGCCCGAGCCCAGAAAGTCCTCCGCTGGAGTCAAACTGTGGTAGAGTGTCAGTTTCTCTCACTCACCTCGCCACCAGTCAGTGTACGCCTCCTTGTCCGTCCTGTTTTCGACTCCGTTCGCAGACTCCCGTTCCCAGAGCTTCTGCGCGTCTCTCCTTGCCGAGCCGCTGTGGAAGCAGCCAGCCGCCGGGCGGCGGGAAACCCAAATCGCGGTTTCCAATGGCGCGGGGTCGAGCCTCCACACCGAGTCTTTTCTGTTCCTATTTTAGCGCCAGGACTGTATTCTAAGTTGGTTTCTCTCAGCCCAGTTCGTTCCTGAGTCAGCAGAGCATATCTCTACTGGTTCATGTCTCCTTAGTCCGCATCATTTCTGGCCTCTGAGCCGAGCCTTTCAGAGAGCCTCCGGTAGTTGCTGTTGTCTGTCCGCCATGTTCTCCCTCCTCTGGATCTACTTCTCAGTTAAGCAGACAGATTAGGTGGAAGGTGAGTTGTGCAAATGTCCAGTGAGATTCATGAAGTACTTCTGGTGCTTTTAATTACAGCTCCGGTGTGTCATCGTGTCTCATTTATCAGCTTCCAAGTTAGACTTTCACCCCCAGAGTACAGCGACTGGGCCGATGGTTATGCTGCAGTTATGTGAGCTCTTCTGCCTTCATCAGGCCAGGAGGCAGATTTTACAGATTTGCCCATCTGTACTCCGCAGGCTTAGTGCAGTGCCTGGCATGGGACAGGGCTAGAGAAATCTGTCGTGCTGAGTTAATTTTGCTCTATTACTTGTCTTTTTCAGGCCAAGATGGGCTTCAAGGAAGGGGAAGGATTGGGTAAATTCAGCCAGGGTCGGAAGGACATCATCGAAGCCTCTAATCAGAAGGGACGAAGAGGCCTGGGTCTCACTCTGCAGGGCTTTGATCAGGAGCTCAACGTGGACTGGAGAGATGAGCCGGAGGTAATGATGTGCGGGCAGGAGGCAGCGGCTCCATGAGCTTTTACGGGTGTGGCTTTATGAAACAGTATTAAACTAGGACTTAGTAGAAAGTCTTAGCAGGGTGCTGAGGTGGGGTGGAGCCAGTTTCTTACAAGGAAGGTGTCTTGGTTACTTTTCTTTTTCAATTGGTACCGGGATTGAACTCATGACTGCGCGTTTGCAAGGCAGGCACTTATGCTGCTGAGCTAAATCCCCAGCCCTTGTTACTTTTCTTCAGTTGCTAGAACAAAATAGCTGACACCCAGAGTTAAGGGGAAAGTTCATTTATCTCATAGTTTGTGGAGGTTTCAGCCCATAACTGCTGGCTCCACGGCAGTGTGCGTGATCGAGGGGCAGCACTCAAGGCGGGCAGAAAACACAGAAGCAACAAGAGCTGAACGGGAGCTTCAGGTCTGCTCCTCCCTGACAACTGTAAACAGGCTTCCGGCCTCAGGGCCTCAGGGCCTCAGGGCGGCAGAGACTCATCCCAGCTCAGGGCCTCTAGCTCAGGCTCAGGGTGTTCATGAAGTTGGGACCCTGAGTTGCTTAGTTAAGCTTCTAGACTTCTCAAGTTGACACAGTGTATCAATCGTTACAAAAGGTAATGGGGGTTTCAGGGTGGAACAGAAGGCTGGGCTGGTGGATGTCAGTTTGTTTCTTATTGTCTTCTAGGTCTGCCTAAGTCCTATAGTAAAAGATGTGGAAGGCAGAGTTAGCGGTACAGAGAACATAGTGCATAGGTACGGTTCTGCATCAGAGGAGCAGGAAACCTTGGTGAGACACTGAGGTCCCTTGGCCAGAAGAATCCAAGTGGGCAGATGCCCACCCACCACCCTGCTGTAGACTGACTGGCCAGGGCCTCCTGAGGTCTCCCCCCACACACAAGTAAAGGCCCTTTGGGTCATAAGCAGCTGCTCGCGCTGTGTGGCTTTTCTGCCTTGGGTTTAGTCTGTTTTTCTACTCATTGATCTGTTCATTGTCCAGCAGATGCTATTATTGTCCTTCTGCATGACACAGATATGTTGAGATTTCATTTACATTATTTTATTGTTTTGGGGGGGCACCCGGGGAACTCAGGATGTTGCACTTGCCAGGCAGGCACCATGTTGCTGAGCTATCTCCCCGGCTCAAGAGTTTATTTTTATTCATTTATTTATACCTTTATTCCACAAACGAATTGAAATATGGGTAACAAAGCATGTCAAATCAATGTGGAGATGTTTCCGTGACCGAATCTAGGCTTTGGAAAACAGAACTCAAGTACCGAGGCGAGTGCCTGGCTGTGACTGGGCTTGAGAGGCGGCCGTTCCTCAGCGCCCCGCCCTTCCAGCTCGGGAGGTGTGCTGTGCCGAGAGCCTAGTGAGGCTGCGGGGTGAGATTCTGACCAGTCAGGAGCTGATGGGCCTGGTGCTGGCGGCCGTGGCTGGGAGCAGACGAGACTGCAGAGTAGCTGGGGACGTGGCGTTGGTGGCTAGATGTGACTTTTGCCTTGGAAGCACCATGCCCAGTGCTTTCCTAGTCCTCTGCCACGTGAAAGCAGTCACGCAGTGTCGGGCATTTCATGGGGCAGGCTTTGAAGGGACTGCGTTCAGTTTCAATCCGAAGTTTGCCCGTGCAGTCCTGTTCTCAGTGGAGATACACCAGGGTGAGGCATCCAGGTCTCACTGACCATGGTTTGGGTTTTCTCTTAGGATGCTCTATAAGTAATGAGTTTGGCTCCTCTACAGTTGATGGCCACTTTTTAGGGCATGAGTCTGCGTGGCCTGATGTGAGTGTGAATGTCCACTTCTGGGATCACTGCAGGGAGCATGCTTGTGTCACTGCCCAGGACTGTGGAGTTAAGGTTTGACCCTTTGCAGGCAGCCTTAACATGCATTGGGAGGCTGAGTGTAGGTACACTTCTTTTTTTTGGTTTGTAATTTACATTTATGCATACAAGTGATGGAGTTCACCAAGAGGAACCATAATTCACTACCAAATTCATGGACAGAAGCCTTCAGTCATTTTTCTGTTCAACTTCCCTCAGTCGATGGCAGTTGGCTGCCCTCGAGACCTGGCATTGTTACCATTTTATGCCTTTCAGAGCATGTAATATTAGCTTTAATCACATTGCCTCAATTCGTGATGGTGACCCTCTTCTCCACACTTGCTCGGGAGGCAATCTGTGACACCGCCATGCAGGTTAGCCACCTGGTAAGTTTTGTAATGCATGTCTCGAGCTCAGGGTCCTTGGTCCTGATGCACTGTAGACTTCTCTAGAGATTCTGTCCCCATCTTGGAGCAGCAGAATCACGCACTCTGGGTGCAGCCCCAACATCAGGACCTCTGGCAGCTGTGCAAGAGATTCTAAGTGCAACCAGAGCGAGCTGCAGCGTCTGCCTGTCAGGGAAAGTAATCAGAAAGCAAAGAGGAAGCAGCTATCAGACCCCACTCGTGGCTTGGTCTCTGAAGTGGTGGCGGAGGAAGGCTGGTGGTCAGTTTCTGGGCTAGGGCGTGAATACGCCTTTGAAAGAGGTGACGCTCACTGCCGTAGGTCTTCCTGATGTCACTGCCTTTTTGTAGATTTCTGTTGAACCTAACAGCAGCCTGGTTGCCTCTGTGTCCTCACTGTTCCAATCTTAAGCCCTGGGTTAAGGATCTGTCTTTTTTTTTAGTCAGTACTGGGGATTGAACTCACAGCTACACGCTTGCAAGCAGGCACTTATGCCGCTGAGCTAAATCCCCAGCCCCAAGGATCTGTCTTAATTACTTTCTTGTTGCTGGGACAAAATATCCACCACCTACAAGTTAAAGGAGGCAAGGTGTGTTTTAGCTCATGGTTGGCGGAGGTTGGCTAGGTCTAAGGCAGACGGCGTGGCAGAGGAGAAGCAGTTCATGGCAGGGCCGCCAGAAGCAGTGAGCGCTCAAGGCAGGACCACTACACACGGATAAACACTGTGTGTGTATCCAGGCCCCGCCTACAGCGCCCACCTCCTTCCTCCAGGCTACATACACCCAACTCAGAACCCGTCAGTGCATATCCCAGTGTCACACACCCACGGTTCAGTCACCTCCCAGAAGTCCCACATGTGAGGCTTTGGAGGAAGGCAGATGCAGGCTGTAATGGGATGTCGTACTTAACTTTCATTCCAAGAACGGATGTGTGGTACATACACATCAAATAAAACTGGAACACATGGGAGAGACCTGGAGGATTTGCAGGTTTCTAAGGACTCACAGAACCGAAGGGCAGGCAGCTCCAGGAGTCAGACTTTGGAACCTGGCTCTCGAGGCTCATAGCTGGTCCTTGCACTTGGCTTAGCCACTTGAACCCTCCTCAGTCTGAGTTTTTCTCGGTGGTTTTGGGGAGGCCTGGTGAGTTGGGGCAGAGATCTAAAGATCTGACTTACCTGATGTCCTTGCTTTTCTTTTTTTCATAGCCCAGTGCCTGCGAGCAGGTGTCATGGTTCCCAGAATGTACCATGGAGATTCCCGATACTCAAGAAATGAGTGATTGGATGGTTGTGGGAAAGGTAGGACTTCAGGAAAATGTGCCCCGCCCTCCTGGTCTCCTGCTGATTTTTTTTTTTGTCTTCATTTCTATCGGTACCAGGGATCGAACTCACGACTGCCTGCTTGCAAGGCAGGCGCTTATGCCGCTGAGCTAAATCCCCAGCCCTCTCCTGTTGATTTTTTTCCTCCTCAATTTCAATGTGTAAATATGTTTGCATTTTCAAGAAAAACATGGCCAGGCATGGTGGTGCATGCCAGGAATCCCAGCAGCCTGGGGAGCTGAGATGAGGCTTGCCAAGGTCAGGCCCAGCCTAGGAAACTTAGTGGCAATGCTGGGTCAGAAAAGGGCTGGAAATGTAGCTCAGTGCGAAGGCCAGGGGTTCATCCTCCATCCCTCTTAATCAGATTGTCTGAGAGGAGTCAGCAGTGTGTGGGGGCCCTGCGTGGTGCTCTGGGAGCCGTGGCAGGCAGGGCTCAGATTGTCTGAGAGGAGTGAAGCCATGTCAGCAGTGTGCGGGGGCCCTGCGTGGTGCCCTGGGAGCCGGGGCAGGCAGGGCTCTCCTTGTTGTCACTCAGCTCTTGAGGTGGACATACCACGTACTCTGTCTCTTCCTCTCGAGACTTTTTGGAGTGGCTTAGTGTGTCTATATGTTGTTTCCGGCTGGGCATGGTTCCAGGTAGGTGAGAAGACACTGTCCCTGTCCTCAGAAAGTGACAGGTTGTTCCGGAGGGAATTTGTTGAACCTCATGCTGGAGGACTGCATGGATAAGTGGACAGCTGCTTGTCCAGTGCAGCCCAGAGAGCTGCTCTGCAGGCGGAGGGCTCCTTGGGGACGGTGCAGCCCCTTGTGGTACTGTAAAGCTCCTTGCCGCTTCCACTGCATGGTTCTGCACGATCCGACATACGGGGTCACTCCTGGCTGGAAGGTGGGTACAGGGAAGAGAATCTAGCCTTGAAGAGATTTATAAAATGGAAAATAGAACCTCTCTCCTCAGCAAAAATTTTTTTTGAAATAGGATTTTTAAAATATGTGTTTATATTAACATAGCACGGGGGCTGGGGATTTAGCTCAGCAGCATAAGCGCCTGCCTTGCAAGCAGGCAGTCGTGAGTTCGATCTCTGGTACCAATAAAAAAGAAAAAGACAAAAAACATAGCACATTCCTTTTTAAAGCTGAAATAAACATCAAAAGCATAACTTTAATTTCTTATAAGCATTAAAGTCTAACTCACATAAACAGAACCCCTCCAGTGCCCTCAGGATGCGTTTTGCAGCCTTGGGGAGGGAACCCCAGGCTCATGGGTGCAGGATGCATGCCTTCCCCTAGCTGTACCCCAGACCCTGCCGGACTGAAGCACAGAGCCCAAGCAGTCTGGAGAGCTCCTCTCACGTGTGAGGTGTGATGTTTGCACAGGGCACCCCGGTTTTCTGCCTCGCCTTCTTTTGTAAACGTGGGGCCTCTCCCCTCCTGTGCCGCCCACACCTCCTGTTTGCTTTGCCCAGCCTCTGCGTCTGGAGGCTGGTATCCATATGGTGTGCTCCTCGGGGCTCCCGGGGACCCTTCATCCTGAGCCATCTGGAGCACAGCTGGAGGGTGTAGGATTGTCTCTCCTGCCCCTCAGGGCCTCATACTGCTTGGCAGGGACTCCAGCGTCTTCTGCTCTGTTCACTGGGAATCCTGAAACCTCCGGTCACCCCCATGCCGGTCACACAGTGGTCATTTACCATTCTTCTCCCTTTAGAGAAAAATGATAATTGAAGATGAGACGGAGTTCTGCAGTGCGGAGCTGCTGCACAGCATGCTGCAGTGCAAGGTGAGGCCTGGCGGGCTTCTCTGTGTCACCTGTGCTGAGTTGTGGGGGTGCCGAAGCTAAGCTGTGTCCTGATGCGGGGCGTGCCGCAGCCCTCGAGCCCAGAGGTGTTGCAGTTGGTGATCAGGAGAGGGTTGGTTCTCTTTGCCTCAACGGTCCGTTTACTGTAGTCCTCGGGGCCTAGCTTGCTTTTGCCATTAGATGGACCTGGATTTGGACCCTAGGCTCACCAACAGCTGTTTTGCTGTGTGACCTTGGGCCTGGTACTGCAGCCTCTCTGAGTTTTGGTTTCCTCTGCAAAGTGGGGAGACAATTCTTGACTGAAGGCCTGGAGTTAATGAAATAGTGGCTGTGAAGTGCCTGGGTAAGCGTGGCCTCCCCGAGGTCTCAGATCTGAAAGCTTGTGCCTGGGGCAGGATGAGCTGGGGAATGGGGCACACATGAGGCCTCTATCTTGGCAGCCGTGGGTTGGGAATCCCTAGGGAAGGTGGGAAGTGAGCAGCGGAGGGGCCGCGATGGGTGGCACAGCCACAGTACAGCCCATACTTGGCCTGCCCCCTGTCCCTAAGTGCGCCCCTCAGGTGAGCCTGAGCATGAGCTCGGTCCAGGCAGGTCCCTGCTGGAGCAGGGGAAGATGTGCTGCTAGGGTTGGCGCTGCCAGCAGGCAGCCGTGGGTGCAGCAGCAGGCGGGCGCCACTTTCCAGGGAGGGAACTGAAGGTCACAGCAGGCGAGCATCTTGTCACGGTCACACAGGCCACTGCAGAGCTAAACGCAGCAGGAGTGCAGCTGCCCGGGCAGTCAGGCCCTGCCAGGGCTGAAGACCCAGGCCTGTGGGTGGGCTGGGGAGTGTTCACCTGGGCTTCGGTCTCTTTGGGCAGTGTGTGTTTGATGACCTGGATGGAGAGGAGATGCGGCGAGCTCGGACCCGGGCCAACCCCTACGAGATGATCCGAGGCGTGTTCTTCCTTAACAGGTCGGCCCCCTCGTTCTCCTCCCCTTGCCCTTCCCCACCGCACCTTTCCTGGGAGCCGCAGCTCCAAGTCCAGCAGGCGCTGAGTTGCCCTTGTGTCTTGCTTTGTTGCAGGGCGGCGATGAAGATGGCTAACATGGATTTTGTGTTTGATCGCATGTTTACGAATCCCCGGGACTCTAAAGGGGTGAGAACTCATGGTGCCTGCCAAGGGGACTGATGCCTACGTGGCTCCGACACTGCCACTTGCTCAGTGCCAAGAGCGGGTCCTGCTGTGGTGGTCCAGACGTGCTTTGGTTTCAGCTCCCCAGAGTCCCACAGCGCTGCCGTGGTCCCTGGAGTGCCCCCCACCCCCCTGGCCATGCTGCAGCTTATTTCTCTGAACCCTGACACTGTAATGACGGGGAAAGCAAAGCAAGGGTGGTTGCACTGTACAATCCCCTCCCAGGTTTGAAAGCGTTTTTAGCCAGTCCCGGAGAGTTAGTGCACTTTGACAGTAGTGACAGGGCCCGGGCCAGCTGCCCCACCTGGTTCCCTTCGCCCACCGCCATGCCTCGACCCCACCTCCTGCTGGCACAGCTGCTTGCTTTCTCTGGACTTTGCTCATTTTTCTTTCCCTGGGTTCCTTCCCCGTCTTCCCGGACCAGCAGGCAGCACCAAAGGGCTCTTGGAATTAGCATCTTGAGAAAATTAGGTTGATATAATGTTGATTTAATTTTCCAAGTTCCCGATGATTTCCGTTAAACCCCTGCCTGGCAGAGGAGCCCCTTAAGCTGATGGGAAGTCGCAGCATCATTTTGGGCTTTTGAACGTCACCGTCTCCAGCAGCTGGTGTGCAGTGATTGTCTTCTGCTGTCGTGGCAATGGAGTAGGCACCAGGATTGTACCCCTCAGCTCAGGGCGGAGATGTTGGGTGGGAAGAGGGGCCGTGTGTGTGGTGCTCCAGGCAGCTTCTTGGCCTGAATTGATGGTTAGTGGCCAGGGGGGATTCCCCTTTCGGAGATGTTCTCTGTACTGCACTATGAAAAGTGGTTTCTTCTGAGCCCTGAGTGTTTGCCTTTTCATCTCTGTTTTCCCCTAAGGACTGGAGTGACAGCCAAGCCCAGCAGGCCTGGTGTCTTCCAGGCCAGCGGAGACTCCAGAGCAGCTCCCAGGAGAGGCAGGGAGGCTCTCAGCGGGCTCGGGCTCCCGAGGTCTGGGTGGCTTCTGGTCCGCTGGGTTAGACGGGAACCAGAGAACTGGAAAGTAGGCAGGGAGTGGGGTGGACCCTGAGAGGCTTTTAAAGAGGTCTCTGGTGCTGCTTGCTGTGTTAGAGGGGAAGAGAAGTTGCATACAAGGATTGGAAGAGACGGGAAGGGAGGGATTTGACCCGGGACTGGAGGCGCCTTAGAAGCTGTTCCCTGGGAGTGCAGTCGAGGTGAAGCACTGTAGTGGGGGACAGACTGGACATAGTCTTTGAGTTTCAGTCTCAGAGGAACTTCAGGGTGGCGTTTGCAGGTGTGTGAAAGAGAAAACCAGGGAAAAGGACGCTGCAGAGTCTCTCCTGTCCTTCCCTTTGCTGTGCCCTGCCCCAGCCACCCAGCTAGCCCTGGGCAGAGGCAGAGCCAAGGGAGGCAGGTGCCTCGGGGGTCTCAGGTCAGGTCCTGGGCAGACAGCAGCCGCTGGTGAGAGCTGAGTAAGGCCTGCAAAGTGCCAATGCTGGCTCCATTTTGCCGAACGTACCAAAGTTCTAGAAGGTGCTAACAAACCAGAAAAGGGGCGTAGAAACTCCCCATCAGTGTGGCAACTTTTCTTTGAAAGTACTCCAAAATGAAGAGTTAATTGAGAGGTCTGTTGGGAGTGTGTCGAGGAGTTGCAGAGAGAGGAAAAGGAAGGCAGAGTCTGTGGTCCAGAAGGCGGGGCGGGATGGGGGTACCCTGGAGTTGGGCCTGCTGGGCTGGGAGCGGCCGCGTGGCTCCTTGTGCGTTTCTCCCCAGTCAGTCAGTCTGTCACCTGGGGCCGGCAGTGGCCCTATGGGGTGCACGGGCATCTGACAGGAAAAGACCCTGGGGGGTAGTTGCCACGCAGCGCTTTTTGGGAGCCTGAGTGAGGCCTGGTGGTGTGGAGAGCGTTGGGGTGTTTTAGGGCGAGCAGGGCAGCTCCCGAGGGCCAGCATCACAGAGAGTATGTGTTTGGGTACTGTGGCCCTGGCGGAACCCTGGGCTGCACCCGCCGAGAGGTCTGTTTTCCTCCCGTGCCCTCCTGTTCCTCTCCCCATTTCTCCCTGTCCTCCGTCGCCTCTGCAGTTGCCCCTGGTGAAGGACCGGAACGCCGAGCTCCTGTACTTTGCCGATGTCTGCGCAGGCCCTGGCGGCTTCTCCGAGTATGTGCTGTGGAGGAAGAAGTGGCACGCAAAGGGCTTCGGGATGACGCTGAAGGGCCCCAATGACTTCAAGCTGGAGGACTTCTACTCGGCCTCCAGTGAGCTCTTCGAGCCGTACTACGGTAGGGGGCCCAGCAGGGCAGGTGCTGGGAGGGCTGGCCCAGCCCCGGGTGCTGCGCGGTGGAAAGCCGGAATGGTCTCCTGGGGCTCATAGCCGGGGCTCGCAGCCCGTCACGAGGCTCTTGGTTCCCGCTGGCCCAGGGATGGCGAACCTTTCGGTGATGGAAACAGCCCTCTGTGGCACGTGTGCATAGGTTCGCCATCACTGCTCTGGACTGTCCTTTTCTCCCCAGCCCTGCAGCCACAGCTCAGACCCTTGGCGAGGCAAACTCCCATCAAGCCAGCCTCGTTCTCCTTCCTGGAGCACTGTTTCCTTGTACAGGAGACAATGAAATTGCCTGGCTGCAGCCAAGAACTGGCCGGGTTATTACAGACACAACCTGCGCCTGGTCGCAGGCTCGTGCGCGGAGGCAGACAGCTCACCTGCCCTCAGCTGGCTCTCTGCTCCATCTCGTTCTTGTGTGATGGCAGCAGGTCCTAAGTCCTTCCTTTCAGCCCTGAGTAAGAAGTTGATAGTGGTTTCTAAACAGAGGTGCCGAGACGCCTGTGGTTCCGTCTGGACTCCTGGCGGGGCAGCTCCTCTGGACTCTGCTTTGTTATAGCTAGGCCCAGTTCTTCCTCCCAGCCCAGCCTGGGAGGCCACCTTGCAGGATGACCTCTGGGCTTCGAGTCACCTGTGCTCCCTGTCCCAGCTCGCAGGTGTTGAGGGCAGCTGATCTTACTGTGCCTCTTGTGTCCGGCCAGGTGAGGGTGGGGTGGATGGAGATGGAGATATCACCCGCCCAGAGAACGTCACTGCCTTTCGGAACTTTGTCTTGGATAACACAGATCGCAAAGGTGTCCACTTTTTGATGGCCGATGGGGTAGGTGATCTTTCCTCCATAGAGTGGTTCTTGAGGGCTTGTTAATTAATCACATTTGTTTGGTTTTGTTTGTTGAGCCAGGGTCTTGGTTTGTAGTTCAGGCTGGGCTTGAACTTACTATGTAGCACAGGCTGCCCTTGAACTGGCAGCAATCTTCCTGTCTCAGCCTCCTGAGTGCCAGGATTGCAGACAATGTGCTGCTATGCCTGGCACCATTTCTGTAATTTTGTAAAAACTATATAATGTGGATAACCCTCCTTGGAGCAATGTGGAACTGCCCAGCTCACTTTGTTACAGGGCCTGATTGGTTGTGAGACTGAGACATGAGCCCTGGCGAAAATCAGTGAGGCAAAAATCAGTGAGGCAAAATATTGCTGTTTGGCCATGGGGAAGTTGCTTCTGGTGAGGGTGTCTAGACCCCCCATCCTCAGGCCGACAAAAGGCCGTGTAGCCAAGCAGCCCCCCTGTCAGCAGAAGTGAATACTCAGGGGCTCTGTGGGGGGCTGTTTGAGGTGCACCCAGTGACCCCACTGCAGGGAGCTTGGGCAGCTACTCCAGGATGCCGTGACCTGAGAGCCCTGGAGGCAGCCCTGGCTCCCAAAGGGCGCCCTGCAGGGCCCCTGCCACACAGTCGCAGGGTCTGTCTGTGCTCTGGGAGGTGATACAGTGTGGCATACCAGTATTGCTTGCAAACCAAAGCGCTGTGGGCCCTGGCAGTGGAAGCGCTGGCTGGGGCCTTCCTGGGTTTTTGTTTTGTTTACTCCTATAAAGAGGCATGCATGTTGACACTTTTTTTTTCTTTTTTGGTTCTGTGATTGAGCTCATGACCTCACGCTTGCTGGGCAGGCGCTTATGCTGCTGAGCTAAATCCCTGGCCTCAGGCATACATTTTGAGACATCTGTGTTTGGAAGACATTGCTAAACATATTTTATTTAGAAATTTGTTTTTTTGCCAAACAATTTGATCCTGAGTCATTTAGCTATTACTTTTGTAGGCGCTTATCAGGGAAACTTGATCTGAAACAGCTTAATAGAACCATCCTACTACGACTTTTTTTGGGTTTTTTTTTTGAGACAGGGTCTTGCTATGTTGCCCAGGCTGACCTCAAACTTGCAATGATGCTCCTGCCTCAGCTTCCCAAGTGCTGGTGTTACAGTCCTGGCCACCATGTGCAGCTACTACGGTTCTTTTTAATTAACACGAGATGTATCATCTTCACCATGCCCAGTGTACAGTTCAGCAGGGTTAAGTGTACTCAAATGGTTGTGCATAGATTTTCCAAAACTTTTACTTAGATTTTGCAAACCTGAAATTGTATCCATCCTGCCCCTCTCTCCTGGACTGGCCTCTTCCTTCTGTGAGTTCTGGCTCTCAGCTCTGCTGCCTGCTGGAGTCTGCCTGGAGCCCTAAAGCGGCGGGAGCACCCTGCTTTGAGCAGACACTGGTCGAGCTAGCAGAAAGTGCACCAGGGACTTGGGAGAGGATGGGGCAGGACTGGAAGAGGTCCTTGACAAACAGAAAGAAAGGTTTCTGTGACTGTCAGAGTGGGTGCTGGGCTTTGTCCTTCACTAGACGGGGGCTTCCTAAGCACAGAGGCTTAGCACAGCCGAGAATTCCCAGGTGCTTACTCCCTGGTCTTATTCCTGATCCGTGGCTGACCTGTACCTTGGCTGGGTTCTTCTGCCTTCCTCTGCTTGGATCCCCACACCGGCATGGCCCTGCCTCCCAGCCTCAAGGGCCTCCCTGAAGAAGCAGGCTGGGTCTCATCCTTAGGGGTGATTGAGCGGGAAGTGTCAGGGTTCTGTGGCCCCAGGACCCCGCAGGCTGTGTCAGCAGGCAGCACGGTTGGCCAAGGCGCTGCGGTTCAGGTGAGGTGGGTGCTGTGCTCAGCCTTGTCACTGCTCCGCCCTGAGCCTGGCTCTGGTTCCAGGGCTTCTCCGTGGAAGGGCAGGAGTGCCTGCAGGAGATCCTCAGCAAGCAGCTGCTGCTGTGCCAGTTCCTCATGGCGCTGTCTGTCGTCCGGACAGGTGACTTCCTGCGCCGTCTCCTTACCCCGGGGCCCCCAGGGAGTCCAGTGCGCAGTGTGAGGACAGGAGGGCGGGGAGGCTAAAGACAGCCAAAGGCAGGAAGCAGCTCGTGTCGGGCTGGCTGAGGGATTTGGGAAAGAGCAGTGGCCTCGCTGAGCTCCCTCCGAAGCTGATTGTCCCGTAGAGGGCCTGGTGTTTGTGCCCTTCTCAGGCAGATGCCTCTCCCATCCCTGGGGAGGAGCCCGCTGATGGGTGGCCATGGTCTCTCCCGTCCAGGAGGCCACTTCATCTGTAAGACCTTCGACCTGTTCACGCCTTTCAGCGTGGGGCTCATCTACCTGCTGTACTGCTGCTTCGAGCGCGTGTGTCTCTTCAAGCCCGTGACCAGCCGGCCCGCCAACTCCGAGAGGTGAGGCTCTGCCCTGCCGGCTGGCGGGCCGCAGGTCAGCACAGTGGGCCGGGCCTCCCCAGTCCGTGCTGGGGAGCAGTCCCCAGACAGGATCAGAGCACTGGTGGTAAGCTGTGGCACACAGGCCGCAGTGGTCTGTTTGTGTCCTTGAAAGCTTGGCAGGGGTCATTATCACCAGATCAGAGCCCCTGGGGGCCAGGAGCCAGGGGCCGCAGGTGTGAGTGGACCTGAGCTGCACCTCATCGGCCTTTGCCTTTCCTCCATGCTTCTGGGTGGGACTTGGGGCTTGGTCAGTAATAGGGACACTTACAGGGACACAGGCCGGGAGCAGTTGAGGTTGCCATCCAGAGGCACTGCTGGCATCCCTGGTGGCATCTCAGGTGGGGCACAGAGCTCACATGTGAGGGGAGAGGGTACGCAGCCTGTTGGGACTGCCAGAAATGTGGCTTCCAGGCTGCTTGCCAGGCTCTAACTGGACAGGCTCTAGGTCCAGGTGCAGTTGGACTTGGGCCCCTGAGAAGCAGCATGGGGGCAGAGACACGGTCTCACGTGACAAGGTGGGATGGAGGCGAGCGCTTACAGCCCAGTCTGTGCTGGCCTTGGAGCGAAAGCTTGCCACTGAACAGGGGGCCAGGGATAGAGCTCAGCGCACAGTGTCCTCCTGGCAGGCGCAAGGAGTTTGATTCTCAGGGCCAAAAAAAGATGGAACAGAGGCTGTCCAACTTGTAGCCCTAGCGGGGGGCCGTGGAAAACCCTCGCTGGACAGTCACAGGATGTCCTCTGCAGGTATGTGGTGTGCAAGGGCCTGAAGGTGGGCACGGATGACGTGCGTGAGTACCTCTTCTCAGTGAACATGAAGCTCAATCAGCTGCGCAACACCGAGTCTGATGTCAACCTTGTGGTCCCCCTGAAGGTGATCAAGGAGGACCCTGAGTTCACTGACTACATGATCCGCTCCAACGAGAGGTGAGCCTCGGGCTGTCCGTGCTGCTCCCCTGGGGCGTGGAGCTCTGGAGGATGAAGGACGGAGTGACTCGCTCTTGGTGTCACTTTATCATTCTAGGCCTTTGGTTTCTTTGGACCCTCATCTTGTTTCAGTGTCCTGTACTGAGTGTGGCAGGCCATTGGCCCCAGGAGGCTGCGTATCCTAGGGAAGCCTAGGAGAAACAGCCCGTGTCTGTGGCGGGGGACCCCTTCCCTGCGTGTGCTGCTGTGTGCAGAAGCCGGTCTCGGCTGTGGCGGGGTCCCCTGCGTGGAGGGGGAGGCGGACAGGAAGCAGGTGCAGTGTGTGCTCCAGGTGCCCAGGGTGCCATCTTGGGAAGCCCACAGCTCTTTCACCTTTAATTGCCCCCACCCTGTCAGTGTAGCCATTTAAAGTGGTGCTAGTCAGCTGTGTGGTCAGGGCACAGCCGGCCTAGAAAAAGGTTTGGGAGGCCGTTCGGAGGCCTGGCTAGTAGCATCAGTTGAGTGTTGGGAAGAGCTTATGTAAGTGTCCGATACCAAGTCTCCCCCGCAAGTACAAAGGTGGACATGGCCCTGAGAGTTACGGAGGGGCAGAGGTCTGTACCCTGCTGTGTCTTCTCTGGTGGCACTCGGTATTAAACCCTCTGCAGCACTGCCTCAGAAGTCGCCATCTCCACAGCAGCTCTAGGCAGCGGGAGAGTGGTTTTCATTTTGTTCACACTTAGGTCTCTGTGACACAGCCCGTGTTCCAGGGAGCCTGGACATGCTGCAGGAGGGGGCTGCTTCTCTGTGCTCTCAGTGGTAGAGGGTGGAGTATTCGCACAACCCCATAACCAGCTGCTTCTCTTTCCTTTTGAAAAATCTGGGGTGTGGGGGCTGGAGGTTTAGCTCAGCGGCATAAGCACCTGCCTTGCAAGCAGGTGGTCATGAGTTTGATCCCTGGTACCGATAAAAAGATAAAAAAAGAATGCCTAACTACAGAAAAATCTGGGGTGTGCTTTGCTAAGAAACACATAGATCGTAAGTGCACACTTGACTCAGTTTTGACAGATGTGTGTGTATAACCCCCATCCCTAAGGGTAATTTTGCATCTTTGTGTCCCTATCCCCAAGTGGCTGCTCTTTTTATCATCACTTTTGTCAGTTCTAGAACTTTTTTATTTTTTTGATTTTTTTTTTTTTGGTACCTGGGATGGAACTCACGACCTTGCACTTGCCAGGCAGGCCCTTAAGCCACTGAACTAAATCCTCGGCTCTGTTCGAGAACTCTGGACGGATGGATTGAGTGCACATGGACATTTAGGCAGGGTGTTTTTCTCACTGTGTTTTTGAGATTCATCCGTGTTGTGAGTTGGTTCCTTTTTATTGTGGAGCAGTGTATCAGTGTTTGCTGGAGACACACTTTTTTTTTCTTTTTTTTTTTTCATTTTTATCGGTACCAGGGATTAAACTCACGACCCCCTGCTTGCAAGGCAGGTGCTTATGCCACTGAGCTAAATCCCCAGCCCTGGAGACACACTTAATACTAGGTACATAGGCTGGTCCGATGGCAGTGGGTTATCAGAACTTATTAACATTAGTGTCACTAAAGTTGGTATACTACCCCCCCCACCGCTAAATTTGACTGACTTAAAAAAAATACTAGGTACATAAGTATATAAGAAGTGACAAGACGAGCTTCCTGGGGCCACTCGCAGAGCTGGGTGAGGGAGAGTGCAGAGGGGCGAGGCCGAAGGACTCAGCGGACACTCTGGAGCTCACTGCCATGTCCTGGGCAAGGGTGTGGGCGTGGGCTCCTCTGCCCCGGCCGTCCGCCCGCCTCCCGTGGGAACAGCCACTGGGCTCTTCCCCGCTGGCCCTGCTGCTGTCAGCAGCGTTGACCATTTTCCTTCGGTCTTTGAGCAGCTTGACCTTGATCCACCTTAACGCGACTTTGTTTTCTGCCTGGCGGTCACTGACAGGTCCTGTGTGAGCCGTCCCACATCCAGGCCGTCTCGGGGTCTCCCTGCATCACTGTTTTCTTTTTGCTGAGGGCCACGCAGTCCCGCCTGGTGCGCACCCCATGGTTGTTAATGAAATGCCAGGCACTGCTCACAGAGCAGCTGAGGCCAAGGCCAGCGGCCGGCAGCGCAGCCTGGTGGTCAGTGGGCCCCGCTGTTGTTCCCCGCTCCTTGCTCATCCTCGCGCGGGACCCGGCTCTCAGGGTCTGGCTCGGTTTTTGCTCTGCCGCAGCCTTCTGGGGGACCCCGAGCAGGCTCCTCTGCTCTGCTAAGGCCTGGTGCTACTGTTCTCGGGCTGGGTCCTCTAAGGAGCCCATCTGACACCCTGTACGTGCTTTTTATCCCAGCCACTGCAGCCTGCAGATCAAAGCGCTGGCCAAGATCCACGCCTTTGTCCAGGACACGTGAGTAGCACCCCGATTTCAGGCTTCCTGTTTGGAGCAAAGACCCTGCTTAGTTCCCCAGGGGGCTCTAAAGGACACCAGAGCAGTTGTGGGGGAGACCGGGAGTGACTCGGGGCAGCTCAGGGGCTACCCAGAGGGGACAGGGGCTGTGCCCGAGATGGGAGCTGATGCACTGGGCCGTGCTCATGTGGCCCCTTACTCTCTGGCCAGGGGCTGCAGGTGTGCAGCCGCGACACCTCTGCCTCAGAGGTGGCGACCCCAGAGCGGCTTTGTCTCCCCAGGACCCTGAGCGAGCCGCGGCAGGCGGAGATCCGGAAGGAGTGCCTCCGGCTCTGGGAGGTGAGCTTCTTGCCCTCGCCCTGGGGGAGCTGTCCCCATGTGCTGAGCATCTGGGGGCCCCCCACCTGACCCTGATGCTGGATTAGAAAGGATAGGGCGATGAGTGGACTGCCCTGCGTGGCTGCGCTGCCCACAGAGTGCCCGGAGAAGGAAGTGACCTTAGTGGCGTGCAGCGAAGTGCCTGCCTGCAGCCTCCACCCCATGCTGTTCCTTCCCCGGGCCTGGTGTCCCTGCCTCAGAGCCTCGGCCGCAGGCCTGACAGGCACAGCGATGTTGCTGCCTTTCAGATTCCGGACCACGCTCGAGTTGCACCTTCCTCTTCGGACCCAAAGTCTAAGTTCTTCGAGCTGATCCAGGTAGCCTGGGATCCGGAGCCTGGCGGGGCACTGCTGGTGGCACATGCTGTGACACCTAGGGCTGGGAGCCACCAGGCACCTATCCCGAGGTGTGCCCTGCCCAGTGGTCCTTGCCTGCAGCTGAGGCAGGGCACCTGGGTGGGCTTACCTGTGGCCCTGCCGCTGTGGGACAGCTGCTTCCCAGAGTCCTGCTGCCCAAGCCCATGATTTTCTAGGAGCCTTCCTCACAGTGTCCTGTGCTGGTTTTTGTGTGGGGTTCAGGGGCTTGAGAATGAAATTCGAGGTACACCTGGGAGGGTAACGGGTGTTTTCTGAGTGGGTTGGCGAGGTCCCCTCTGCGCTCCAGCCAGCTGCTGGGGACTCCTCCTCCGTGTGGGAGGGGCTGCTTACTCACGTTCTGGTGACATTGCTTCCTGCAGCGTGCACATGGAGTTGTGCCCTCCCTTCCCCAGCTGTCCCCAGAGGTCCTGAAGGAGCACGGTTAGGTAGAGAAGAGGCACACGTGTCCCTGTCCCCTCCCAGCCTAGCGCGTGTCCTCTGCTCCGCCGCAGGGTGCCGAGATCGATGTGTTCAGCTATAAGCCCACGCTGCTCACCACCAAGACACTGGAGAGGATCCGGCCTGTGCTGGACTACCGCTGCATGGTGTCGGGCAGCCAGCAGAAGTTCTTGCTCGGCATGGGGGTAGGACCGGCGCAGGTGTCCTGGCTGTCCCGTGTCTCAGAGTCGCCCAGGGTGCTCTGTCTTCCATCTCCCCGTGTACCTCCAGCCCTGCACGCTGACGGGGGCATGGCGGCTTCTGGGGTTCGGGCTGGCAGCATGCTCTGCGGGCTCATCTGGCTGGAGCCCAGGTGGCACCACCATCCCTGCCACATCCTGTCTGCAGGATGTGGCCCTGCCCCTGTAGCCCCCAGGGCTCCCTCAGGCATAAAACCACTGCTTTTCCCGCTGGCTGTGGCCACAGAACTTGCTGTCTTGGTCTCCATCCTCCCACACCTTTTCTTTACTTTCCCGTCCGCCACCCCTCCCCGCCGAGTCCACTCCCAAGCAGAGGCCTGGGCCCCCCACCTGCGCTGCCCGCCACAGCACTTAGGAGAACCGAGCCCTCCCTTCTCTGCAGAAGTCCCAGATCTACACGTGGGATGGCCGCCAGTCAGACCGCTGGGTCAAGCTGGACCTGAAAACGGAGCTGCCCCGGGACACGCTGCTGTCCGTGGAGATCGTGCACGAGCTGAAGGGGGAGGTCAGGGCGGCTCCCTCCCTGGCTGGGGCAGGAGCTGCCCTGGGCTCCAGTTCACTTGGCCGTTCTGTGTTGGTGGACGGGACTCAGGCTGGGAATGGGGGGTGGTTATCTCCCTGAGTGCCGGGGATCCATGCAGGAAGGTGTGGTCCCAGGGGTAGGGAATTTGGCTTGTGCACCAAGGCCCTGGCAGCCTCCTTGCCAGCAGTCAGTCTAGTTAGTGAGCAGGTACGCTGGGGCAGGAATGGCTGTCATCTCAGGATAGCCATGGAGAGCAGGCGGAGAGGGTTGTACCCAAGGCCAGGGTTCATGGGGTGCTCAGCCAGAGTGGCCAGATCGTGCCCGCTCAGATGCCAGGACTGCTCCAGTGTGACAGTGGCTGCAGGCAGGCAAGAGAAACACCTGGGCCGAGCGCCCCCTGCCGGCCGGAACGGAGCCCATGCCACCACCGTCTCCTTGCAGGGGAAGGCCCAGCGGAAGATCAGTGCCATCCACATCCTTGATGTCCTCGTGCTGAATGGCAGCGATGTCCGGGACCAGCATTTCAACCAGCGGTGGGGCCTGGGCCCCGGCCGGGGAGGGTGCAGGCAGGACGGTGGCTCGGGCCCTGGTCACCAGACAGCAGCTCCCTCTGTCCCGCCATAGCTGTGTGGAGGTGACCCAGGGGAGCAGGGTGGGTCCTGAAGATTGTGTCCAGTGCTGGGTGCTTCAAGTTGGGGTCCCTGGTCTGGTAGATACACGTGACACAAGTGCTGCTCGATGCTGGGGTGGAACTGACTGGGTACAGCTAAGAGGTGCCCTTTGGGAGAAGCAGCCACAGCCTCACGAGCAAAGGGGACATCCCAGGAGGGGGCTCGGGCACTGGCGGAGCCCCAGGCGCTGCCTCAGCCGCGCCACTCCTGTTCCAGGATTCAGCTGGCCGAGAAGTTCGTGAAAGCCGTGTCCAAGCCCAGCCGGCCCGACATGAACCCCATCAGGTGAGCCCTGGGCGGCTGCCACCGCACTCCGCAGGGGGGTGTGGCTCAGTGCAGACGGCGCTTGCTGAGGGTTGGTTTGGGGACACAGTGGTGAACCCATGCCACAGACCGCCGTTCCCCGGGTGAGGCTGAGGCGGCCTGGCTTATGATGGGGCTGTTTCCGAGAGCATGGACGCCAAGGCCTGGAGAAGTCCTGAGTGTGAAGCCAGGCGGGGTTGAGGGTGTAGTGCCCTCAGCTTGGGGAGACGGCAGGTTTGCGAACCAGGCCCAAGACTGTTACCTGGGGCTCCGCTCAGCCCCATGCTGCTCTGGCAGAGTCCTCTTCATGGGGACATGGTCCGGTACCAGTGCAGCTCACGGCCGCCTTCGGGGCCGCCCGTGCTCAGAGGGTCCCTCTGCCGGGCTTCTTTGTCTGAGCCTGACACCTCCCCAGTCTGTCCAGCAGGCCATCTGCCCTGGAAGTGCAGGGCAGGCCTCCCAGGACTGTGGGCTGAGGACAGTGTGGACGCGGCCTGCCCCCGTCTTCCAGCTGGTGCCCACTGCCTCCGTGGGAGGCTTCCTGGCCAAACATGGCCTCTCGTCCCTGTCCCTGCAGGGTGAAGGAGGTGTACAGACTGGAGGAGGTGGAGAAGATTTTTCTCAGGTGAGTGACACCGGTGCCCCTGCTGTGGCCTGGAGGCACCGGTTGGGAGTGGAGCACGTGTCAGGCAGAAACAGGGGCTCCTTGATGCTGCGACAGCTCCACAGTGCCCACAGGGGCAGCTCAGAGTGGCTGGAAACCCGGCTGCCGGTGCGGGGCAGAGCCTGGGGGGCGGCTTCAACGCTCCTGGTAGCCACAGGGCTGCCATGTGGGAGTGAGGACCCACGGACACCCCAGTCTCAGCCTTTTGTTGTCACTCTGGAGCCCCACAATAGCAGCAACACTGCAGGGTCACCTGTCACTCCCCTGTGCGGTTAGGAGTTCCAATCCTGTGTTCCAAACCCAGTGCTGTCACCAGCCTGTACCCGGTGGCTTGGGATGCCTCGCTGAGTTGGGGGGCCCCCATTTCTCTTATCAGAGCAGGCTGGCAAAGCGTTGGGGTGGCCGTGGGTGCAGGCCCAGACTAACAGGGTGCACTCTCTGGGTCACATCCACCTTGAGAACTTAGGTTGGAGATGAAGGTCATCAAGGGCTCCAGTGGCACCCCGAGGCTCAGCTACACGGGGCGGGACGACAGGCACTTCGTGCCCACGGGCCTGTACATCGTCAGGACAGTGAACGGTGGGTGACAGTGACATCCTGTCCCAGCCCCGCCCTGCTGGGGCAGCTGGCACTGCTGAGGTTTCCTAGGAGACTGTGTCCCGTGAGTGGAGGTGGGTGGGGGGAGTGGGGACAGTGAGGGGGACACATAGGGCGGAGTCACAGATGCGAGGGGGCTCCAGTCTCTGCCCCTGTGGCCTCTGGAGGACGGCAGGGGTGTCACCTCCAAATCACCCTCTGAGAGCCGTGGTGGGAGCTTCCTGCCTGAGCACCAGCCCTTTCCTCCCTCCCGTTAGAGCCGTGGACCATGGGCTTCAGCAAAAGCGTCCAGAGGAAGTTCTTCTACAACAAGAAGACCAGGGAGTCCACCTTCAGCATGCCCATCGACTCCATCGCCCCATTCCAGTAGGTGGTTCCCTACCCCCCGCCCCACTGCTCCCAGCCTGGGTGGGCAGGACACTGGCTGCAGGGACTATGCACAGGCCACAGACCTGGCCCTTGGGACTCAAGAACCCAGGGTCCCTCACCCAAGTTGCTGGTCAGAGGTTTTGACAGCAGTGCCAGTGTGCCTAAAATTAGCTCCTACGACTAGGAGGTTCTGCCCATTAGAGAAGGTTCTGCCCATATGAGAGAAGCACAGGAAACCCGAGGGTCACTCAGCGCGTGGGGTGGGCCCAGCAGCAGCCTCGGGAGGAGCAGGGCCTCCGGGTCCCTGGTGCTGGCCCGGCTGATGGCCCTCTCCTCCCCCTAGTGTCTGCTACATCAGCCGCCTCTTCTGGGAATGGGGAGATGGCATCCGTGTGCACGACTCCCAGAAGCCACAGGACCTCGACAAGCTGTCCAAGGAGGATGTCCTGACCTTCATCCACACCACGCACAGCCACTGAGCCCAGGGTGGGGCGCTCCTGCCGGGTTCCCACACTCCCAGGCCGCGGCACTTGGGACTGGCTCCATCCACCTCCGTGAAGGGGCTGGGTAGCACAGGACGGGCTCCCTGCCCACCTGCTCCTTGAGACAGGTCTGAGGTCAGTGCCAGGGCTCTGGGCACCGCCCTTCTCTCAGACTTCTGCAGACTTGCTTTTCTGAGGTCAGCCCCCACCCTGGGGAGGCCAGGCCCTTGCTGGCCCAGCTGTGTTGGCCCCCGAGTGGGCAGAGGCCCACTGTGGTGTCCAGTGGAGAGCAGCTGTGGTACAAGTCAGAGTTTCGAGTTTGCTGTGTTGACACCAAGTTGAAGACTTGCTCTCCTCCCCACTCGTCCCCTTTCCTGCAGTCCCCCCAGCCTGGCCCTGATGGTCCTGGCAGGCCAGGACAGGAGGGCGGGCCCAGCACCGCCAACACACTCTGGCTCCGAGCCATCTTTAACACCCGCTTTGGTCCAACCATTGGGCAGCTCGAGGAAGATAGGAAGCGGCCTCTGTGGCCAGCCTCCCTCCTGCCCTGCCCTGGTAGCAGAGGACACCGTGCCGCGGCCAGGAGAGTTGTGAGCTCCTGGCTGCCCGCCCTGCCTGTCAGGAGGCCGGTCGCTGCGCTGCCTGTGTCTTGGCAGAGGCACAGGGAGGAGGGAAGCGGGCAGGGGAGGGCACCCAGCTGGCTTTAACAGGAAACACCTTTCAGAGACGCTCCCTGGCTCCCTAGGCCGCAGCCCTGTGCCAGTCTGGTTTCCATGGAGCCGGGGCACTAAGGCTCCTGGGAGGTTGGAATCAACTTCGCCGGGGCCTCTGCCAACACCCAGGCTGGCAGCGGCAGGGCAGGAATGCTGGCTTCCACCCAGCCCTGGGCTGGTCCGTGTGTCCTGCAGAATCTTGGTTCATTAAAGATAAACGTATTTTTAATGCCTGTGTGGTGCAGTGCTCTGTGGGCTGGTTGGGGCGGGAGGGGGCAGGGGGGGCTTGTTCAATGGGCCCACACAGGAAATTGGGGCTCCAGGCCGGGGATGAATGAACCCACAGCCCCGGGGCGGGGAGCACCTTTGCCCTCTTAGATAAATCACACCACTCACATGGTGGCACGGTGACAAGCTAGGATGGCTCTGCGTGACAAAAATAGGCAGCGGCAGACCAATTAGCACCCGACAGGCTGGGAAAGGCGGGGCAGCTGTGCTGACCCTGGCTGGAACCTGCCTGCCATGGCCTCTGTCCTGGCCGGGCCCCTTACCCCAGGCCCGAGGGCCTCTGACGTTGCGTAGCCATGGCTTCTCGTGAGGCTCCCTGGCTTCTGCAAATCCGTGGGCTTCTTCCCACCCTGGCACTGCTGCCCCAGTGCTGCCCATGCCTCTGCCATCCGGCCCTGGACTGGCAGTGGAGCCATCGAGGTCTCCATGAGCCACGCCTTGGCGCCCCTCTACTCGGCACACCCCTCCCTGTGAATCCTGCCTAGTTTGTAGGCCACTGTCACCATAAGTCTGTCTGGTGATTACCAAGGCTCTGGCTGCCCACGCGCTCTCCAGGCCTCCTGCCCACCAATGCCTGGAGATGTCAACGCTCTGTACTCCCTGAGGACCTCTACCCGCCCCCTTCAGGTCCCAGCCACCCTCACCGCACACGCTGCACTGGGTAAGGGTGGGCAGGTGGACCGGGACACCGGGTCTTCTCTGAACTTCAGAGTTTCTTGCCCATCCCTCCATGCCCAACCTGCTGCCCCAGCTACAGTCAGACCGTGATATTTACTCAGGATGGTGGCAGCCTGGTGTCCTTTATTGCCTGTCACTCGGACTGAGGGAGGAGCCAGCACTGAGTCCAGACCCCAGGCCCACGTGGGCCGTGTTGGGCTGAATGCCCAAGTGGATGGGGTATCCGGTGCCCAGGTCCTCCGGAGGCTTCAAGGGCCCGCCTGTCCCTGGGACTCACATGGTCCAGTGGGCGTAGAGCAGGGCCAGGAGGAGGAAGATGGCCACCGAGAGCAGCATGTTCTTGCGGTTCTCCCGCCGTAGCATCTTCAGCTCCTGCTCTGGGGGCACAAGGGTGGTGGCGTCCACGGGCCGCCCAGCCCCTCCTGCTTGCCGCGTTCCCGCACAGCATGCAGGTGGCGGAGGGCACGGGTGTTTCTTTCCAGTCGCCGCCTTTCTCAGCGCCCTCAGACTGTCCAGACCCGCACAGCCCCGGGCCAAATGCTACTCAGCCACTCTTCAGTGTGCCTGAGGCTGAGGCTGGGATATGAGGGGCCCTGAAAAGGCCACACCTAAGTCAACCTGTGTGGGGTGACACCACTGGTTGAGTCCCCTGGCCTGTCGTGGTGGCATGCTTACCCTCTTGGAAGCTCCTCCACCCAGCAGCTGGGATGACCTCAGGCCCAGCAGGGGCCTTAGGTGTTTCTGCCGGTGCCTAGCTCTCAGAAACTAGGGGTGCTAAGAGCAGCAGTTTGCACAACGAGGTGGTTGGTTCCTAATCTAAAAAAGCCAGCCCTGCCACTGCCCAGCCACATCCCCTGCGTGACATGCAGGCGGCTGACAAGTGCTGAACTGAACCGGGACAGAGTCTGGGTGAAACCTGATGGCCTGATGGCCAGCACCCCTGGGATGCTGGAGGGGGATGGGGTGCCGGAGGATGGACGCGGCCCAGGGTGCCTAGCTGTGTGTGACTCACACAGTGGCCCCTCTGGGCGCCCAGGGGAACGAAGGGGCACCTGGAGAGCACCCTGCGGACCCTTCTCTGGCCTCAGCAGGCGACTGATACCTATCTCAGCCTGGCTGTTACAGTAGCCAGAAGGTGGCAGCATTGCTCCATGTACAGAAGCCCCTCCTGCCCGGGGTGGGGCCGTTTCCCTGCGCCTCACCTACTCCCATAAGGGGCTCCCAATAGGGGCTGGAGGTCTGAAGTCAGTGCACCAGTCAGAGCCACACCCTGTCATCCTAGAGAGAAGACGGCCCTCTGTGGCTGGCCCCCTTGCCCCCCTCGGACAGAGAAGCACCCCAAATTCTCCCAGACTGCTATATCCTTCAGGCACCGCCTTGCTCCCTGTGCTGTCTTCCCAGCTGTCAGGCCCTCCCAGCCCTGCCGGGGACAGGAGGTCCTGATCTCAGCAGGGCACAGAGGGACTTACCGTAGTTGGAAGCTCTACTCATTAGGCTGTTTCTCTCCTTCTCCAGAGACCGCCTGTCAGGGAAGGGGTTTCACAGCTCAGATCCTTTCCGTGTCCCACCAGGGAGAGGGGGACAGGGATTCAGGTTTTAGGAGACAGAAGTGGAAGAGGGAGTGTCATGCGCTTGGGGGCCCAGGAAGATGCTGGGGCCTGGCGTTACCTGTCCTCAGGGCTCAGCTCTGTCCTGTGCAGCCGGCAGCTCACAGCCTCCAGGTCCCGCCGGCACTGGGACAGCTTCTCCTCCAGCCCATCGATCTGAAATGTGTAGTGACAACACTGGCTGGGTGCCTTCCAGGTAAGTGTCCCACTTTGGGCCACATTGGATTCTGCAGGGCAGAGACCCAGGTCTGTCTTCCATGGCTACCGCCTGAGGCCCCTGGAGACAGGTCCCCGGAGCCACCCCCGCCTCTGAGCAAGCACAGGCTGGGCCCACAGAGCAGGGTGAAGCGGGCGCCCCCGAGAGGAAACGGGCTGGAGAGGCACTCCATGCACAGTGCACACCCAGGGCCAGAGACGGGGTTTCCCCACTGACTCTCCTGCCAGCGCAGTCTATGTTGTAGAAATAGAGACCTGAAGAGGACCAGTAAAAATTAACAAAAAAATGCAGCCTAAAACCACTCGAATTTCTTTCTGACTCAGTTCTTGGGCAGAAACACGGCCTGTCATCAAGACGGCCGTGACCTGTGTGGTGGAATTGCTGAGCTCTGAAGGGAGGCTGCAGGGAGGAGCGCGTTCCATTTGTTTGGATTCCACTTTCAGAGCTGTCTTCCCGGGAGCTGTTGGGGCGAAGGTGCTGTGCATGGAGGCCCTCGCCCCATCAGCCTGTCTGATGCAGGCCGCAGGTGTCCCTGCACCCAGCCGGCCACCTGCCTGGGCCTTGAGTGGCTGAGTGGCCAAGTCAAGCCCAGCACAGCAGCCAAATGCACAGCATTCATTGGGCCCCTCGATGCCCGGTCCTCCACCTGACGGGGCTCTCGCCTCACCAGGAAGGAGCAAAGACCACCTCTGAATCACACATTGACTTCCGAGCCCGAGCGGCACCCTCTCCTTCGAGGTCCCCACTCATTCCTTTCTGCAGCCAGGAGCCTGGCTCATGTCCAGAGACCCCGGGCCCCTGCAAACCTCACCTCGTGGAACTGCAGCACCTGCCGTTAGCTGCCTGGTGAACAGTGTCACTTCCTGGTCAGTGGAAGGGCCACTTCCGGGCCCTGGGGGAAGGGCTGTCCTGGGTAGCAGCCCCAGCCAGGAGATGGGGCTGTTCCTGTGGAGGCCATAGCAGCGAAAGGCACCCTGGGGCCAGGCTTGGGGAGTGGGGACAGCAGCCTGAGCCAGGGTTCCAGGCCACCATGCTGTCAGCCCTCCAAGAAATGGACCTCAGTTGCTCAGCCCCCAAGACCTGCTGCTTCCACCCCAGAGCAAAGAAACCACAGGCAAGGCCCCAAATAAAGCTTCATATGTTGACAGCCCATCTTCTCTGCGAGGCCATCCCTGCTGTCCTTGGCTGGAGGAGACCACGCTCCTCCCCCCCAGCAAAGCCACCAGCAGCACCGCCCTCCTAGTTGAGTCTCGATCTCATCTTGTGGAACCCCCAGTGGTGGCTAGTGGAAGCCCACAGGCTGACCCATTCCACCCGGACCTGTGACCTGGCCACCAAGGATGTCAGAATTTATAGCTCCTGAGATGCCACCACAGCATGCCCCCTATCTTGGGCCCTGAAGGCCTGGCCTGCTCAGGATGGCATGTCTCTAACGGGCTGGGGACAAATGACTGAGATTTCACGTGGCAACCGGAGTCTGAAACCTTGCTCTTGTGCCCAGAGCTGGCAAGAAACGGGCACAGAACCAGGGCACTTGGCAGGTTACACAGTACAACCTTAGTCCTAGCCTGGGCCCTCCCTGCCACCCCTTGGGCTTGGCCATGGTCAGCAAGACATTCTGGGGAGGGAGAAGGTTGGGGAGGTGGGGTTCTGCTCCTAAGACACCCCTGAGAGGGCTACCAGGTACCCAAACGCATGGTGATTGCTCCAGACCAAGGCCAGGAATTCACACTAAGCACAATCTTAAAACCCAAGCAGCCCACCCACCCGCCGCCGTGTGAAGGACAGCGCCTGCGGAGCTGGTGCCGGGCCTCGGATCTGACCAGTTTACACGCAGCCCCCCCGAAAGCTCCACTTTCATTTGCCACATTTTAATGAGGCTTCAATGGGCGAACACAAATCAAGGTTTTAGGGACTCGAGTTCTAAGCTCCCTGTATGAGTATTTATGTCCTGCTGACAGCTCTCTGATTCCCTTCTAAACAGCAAGTCGCCCTTCCTTACAACCCGCCCGCCAGGCCGGGCCGGCGTGGGAAGTTGGCCCACACCCCGGCCACGCTTGCCGCTATGATGCCGGGCAGAGCGCGGGACTGGCTGCACGGGTGGGAGGGAGGTCAGGAGCAGGGACTGCAGAGGGCTGAGCCAGCAGGAGTGGCTCAAAAACGGGGACAGCACCCAGCAAACGGGCCTAGAGGAGCCCCTGGACGGCCCTTCGGTCAGCTCTCAACTCCGTGCCCATGGACTACACACTCTGGCCCTGGGTTGGCATCTTCCCTGTCACCGGGCTGAAGGCGGCAGACGCCAAGACAGGTGTGGAGGTTAGGAGCAGAAGAAGACGTCACCAAGGCTCTAGACACCGGCTGTTGGGTGAAGTCACACTGCACTGGGCGAAGTCCAGTGGTGGGTGCGGGCTGGCATCAGTGCCCCACTGTCACTCGCCTTCGTGTGACCAGCGAGGTGCTAGCTCTGTTCAGTAGCAGCTTGGGCTAGGAGGGTGTGACAGGTGCTGGGAACAGTGCCCCACAGAGCTCAGTGTTTCCTGTTGTTACTGCACAATGGTTTTCGCCACATATTCGGGGAACGAAAAGGCCGAGGAAATGGTGGCAGGAAGAGGGAAGGTGCAGAGCCAGGACACAGCGGCCGCCACAGCTCGGCACCACACACGGACCTCCACGGTCCCGCCCTGGGGAGGGCGTGGGGCCAGGGGGAACCGAGGCGGAAGGGCTGGGCTGTGTCCCGGCAGCGCAGGCTCCACTGGGGGCCCTGGAAACAGAGTGACAATGGAGCCCGTGGTCCGGGGCGCTGGCAGCTGGCACAGGAAGCACGGGATGTCCAGCTGGAGAGGCCCAGCCAGAGGGACCGGGCAGGGAGGGGACACTCTCAAGGCCATGCTGCCCCCCGGGGGCTTCTGTCTGGCAGACTGGAGCCCACGGGCTCAGGTGCCAGCCGGGACAGTCACTGACAAAGCAGAGCTGGCCAAGGAGCAGCCCTCGGGGGCACAGTGGGTACCCCGATGGTCAGTGACACTAAGGCAGCATGCTCAGATGGCCAAGGGCAGCCGCTATGAGGGGAACAGAGCACTGTGTCCAAGTCACTGAGTTGGGCCAGCGGGTGTAGTGAGGCTGCAGTCCCAGGGGACACGGGACCCCCACAAAATACAGGTGGTGGTGCAGGGCGTCCTGTGTGAGCCAGTGAGGCCTCAGAACCCACAGACTGTGTAAACCTCCACACATGCCACTGGGCCCCCGAGACACAGGCGGGAGGAATCCGGCTGGGGCCTGAGACCAGCCAGGGGAATAGGCAGGGGCTGCCCATGGGAGGAGGGATGCCAGGGCGTGGGGTAGAGAAGCTGGCAGTGCCGCTGCCTCACTACTGGAGCAGGAGAGGGCTTCGGTGGGGGAAGGGCACGAGACGAGGGCGTCTCCACCGAGGATGGGGCTGGGCATGGGGACATCCGCAGGCCCCAGTGGAGTGGGGTCTTCGCTGCTGGCAGGTGTCAGGGAGGAAAGAACCCCCTAGTCTCCCCTGCCCTGTGGCTATGAAGCTCCACAGCCTCAGGCCACATAAACACAGCTCCTCTGCTGCCTGCCTGGGAACACCACCTTGCTCTCAGGGCTTAGGGACGTCTCCCTGGGGTCCTATACCCCATAAAGCAGCTGTGTTAAGAGAAACTGTAGAATTCGCCTGAAATCCCCGAGAGGCATCTTTTCAGGAGTGTGGAGCTTCCAGCAATCAAAGCCTGCATGAGGCCTCGATACAAACGGAACCGTACCGCGTGGCTCTCAGATGAACTGCAACTGGGCACAGGCTCAGGGGCCCAGTGCCAGCTCCGGGTGGCCTTTGGGCACAGAGGGCTCACGTGTGGCTCCCATTCTCCCCTGAAGGTGGCTGAGCAGTGCTCACACTGCAGGGCAACTGGAGGGAGCTCCGGTCAGGCCCCAGCCAGCCAGCCGTTTCCGGTCTATAAAGAAGTCCTTTCCTGTGCACGGGCCTTGCTCCCAGGAGCTTCTGGGCAGTAAGTGGCAGAGGCTGCTGGGTTTCCCCATCAGGCAGGGCCACAGACAAATAAAGAGCATCGTGTCAGGTACATGAGCAAGCCATGGCCTCTCGTGTTTGGAAGACACAGCAAGAGTCCGCACAGCCTCTAGAAATCAGAAGTCCACTTAACACAAGTCACATGTGCAAGTCTGCAGGAGGTTCAAAGCAGGACGAGCTGGGTCCCATCACCAGGACGGCATGTCCCAGACAGGAGACTCAGATGCACAGAATTGAGTGACCTGACCAGGGTCACACAGGCTGTACAAATGGGGGTGCACGGTGGTCACCACCACCGTATCTGAATACTACCTATGGGCACTCCTGGCCCGCACAGCCCACACACTGTGCCCTCTGGGCTGGGCTGTCTCTGCAGGAAGGGGCTGTGCCCACCCTAAAGCAGCAAACCCTTCAACGGCCCCATGAAAACTGGGGGAGAAGGCTCTGGGGAGCAGCCGGCCATGCCCTGGCTAGGCCAGCGAAGTGTGTAGCGTGGCCTGTACCTCAATGACCCACGCTGCCTGCTCTCCCTACCCCACACACAACAGGCGCCGTGTGGGAAGCCCTGCCTGGGCTCTGCAGTGACACCGGGGCCAGAAGCCATGTCTGTGGTCCCCACCCTGTTTCCCACCCACTGTCAGCACACCCTCAGGTCCAGCTGGGCCTGATGAGTCCTTCCTCTCCCAAGGATGACAAAGCTGTGCTCCTCTTGCTAAGCCACCGCCTGGAGTGTTACCCCACCAGCCCTGCAGCCTGGGACCTGGCCTTCCAGGAATCTGCTCCTTGTCAAGGCAAGAGGCTGCAGGGCCCGCCTCTTTGGTCCCTGGCAATAGCCTGGGCCTTCCATCTGGGGCCTTGGGCAAGACATGTGGCCTTGGGCCAAGACACATGGGGGCCCTGGCCTCA